TATATAATAAAATTTATCATTTTTAAATGTACAGTTCAATGGCATTAAGTACATTCACAGTTGTGTTACCTCACTTCATCTCCAGAACTTGTTTATTTACCCATAGTGAAACAAGTGTAGTTTGAAGTAAGACCTCCAAGCAATTAGTGTGCATGTTAAAGCTGGGAAGTTCTGGGCTAGGGGACTTCTGGGCACAGTAAAGGTAACCATAGCTTATTATGTGTCAGACACTGTGCTAAGTATTCTGTATGCCTCCTCTCATCTAGTCTTCCAGCACCTGAACTCCACCATACAGCAGGGGAAACAGGTAAGCATTTTACTCACGATTGCACAGCTGGTAAGAGGTGGAGTTGCGGCCTCATCTGGGTCTGTGATTTCAACGTGCATGCTTTACCTCTTTGAATTTCCTCTATGCCCAGAAAGAACCCATATGGGTGTCTTGTATGTGAGAATGTGCATTGAGGAAGGAAGATGGCTGAGTACTTTGAGGGAAGAAGTAAAATAAGATCCCCACTGCAAATAAATATTTCTGTGGCTTTACACAGCTCGCACATCTAGATCTATTAGATCTGGAGAATCTGAGACTCTGCATTCACAGAGACAGGAATTTTACTTTATTTTGTCTCTTCAGAAATATTAGTCTCTGGAATGAGACTTCCTGTCCTTTTTTAGGCATTTCAACTGATTCTATAGATCTTTTCAGATCTGTCTGGAACAGGGAGATCAGTCAGGAAGCTGCTGCCAGGGAGTTCTGTGCTGGATGGAGTGGTGTGGCCAGCTCACCTCTCTCTGACCTAAAACCCCAAGGTCCAGGGCTTGGTGTGACTCAGGGATACAAACTCCAGAAGATCTGATGTGGAATGTGACTCAGGAACTCTGGCTGTTCTTCCTTACTCAGATCTGAAACTAGGAAGTTGAGAAAACCCCAAACCTTGTGTAATTGAAAGGATAAATCCCCTATAAGGAAGTGAACCACACTGGAAAATTCCACTCATGAGCAGATAACTGAAAGCGCCTGACTTTTGAGTCAACAACTGGGAGGTCAGCTATGACCAGGCGTCCACCAAGCATGCACAGTTGAACAAGTCCTGTCCTTCCAGGAATTGAACACCTAGAGGGGACCTCTGGTCCATAAAAGTTGCTTGAGAAATACATAAACTAAGGTTTATCCTAATGATTGTCTCAGAATACTCCCGGATAGAAGATCAATTAGGCAAATAGTTCTCAACTTTGCTTAAATGGTAGAATCAATGACCTGTGAAGACTTATTTAAAAATTACCATGCCCAAGACACATGTCCAGAGATTTTGGGTTAACTGGTCTAGGCCTGATATTTTAAAATGTGGTTTAAAAATAAATGTTGAGCTTTGGGCACTCAGGTACTCCCTAATATCTGTAGAATATAAGGGTGAATAATTGGGCTAGTGTCATCCAGGCATGCAACTATTAGCACATGGGTCAAACTTTAGGGGTTTCAGAATATTTTTGTATGTTCTTCTCTTACTTAAGTCTGTTACAAAGGTAAACTGAGGCACACTAAAAATTTTAAAGTCTTTTTGAGCAAATAGTGATTCTTGAATCAGGCAGCTCCAACCAGAAGTAGTTCAAGGGCTCCATTCCAGAATGCACAAAGGACATGCTGCTAGAAAGTCTCCAGTTACATTAGTATGTTTGTTGGTTGTTTCTGGTTGAGCTTAAGTTGTTTTTCTTCAATATAGATTTTTGCAAGAAACAGCTCAAGTTCTGTGAGTATTTGCAGATGAAGCAAGGTTAGGTCACTCATGAGGACTAACTGGCTGTGTCTGCTCCAGGGATTATTTGGAACTTGTCTCCTTTGTAATTTATCTTCATGGAGAATCATGACTTCCTGGAAAATATTGTTGTATAATGTCTATTTTACAGTTGAGGAAGCTCAGATTTAATGAGATTAAGTGATTTTTTTTCCCCTTCGAGTTCAACAAAACTAACAAATGGATTCTATTAACTCTTGCATACTCATGAGTTTAGTGACTGGGCCGGTTCCAGTCATGCCCTGAGAAAATTTGCCTGGCTGCTTGCTTTGGTGAGCATGTCATTTATTCCCGCGCCACCTTATACTAGAGTCCAATTTTTAAAAATAAGAATTATAGAAAAATTCAAATTGAAAAAGTGAGAAAATACTACAATAGACCCTCACGAAGTCATCACCCAGCTTCAACAATCACCAGCTCAGGGTCAGCCCCCATCCACCGGCTTCTATTTTGAAACTAATCCTAGTAAATATTTTGGTATACATCAATAGGGGATTTGAAATAACCTCAAATATTTGAAATAACCTAAAAAATGAGCAATAATTCCTTACTATTGCCAAAAATGATGTCATTATTCACACATCTCTAACACTCTTAAAAAAAAGTTGCTTTGATTAGGAATCAAATAAGTTCTATAAATTATAATGGGTTGCTATGTCCCTTTTTAAATGTAGTTTTCTCCTTCATCTCTTATTTAATCTCCCTGTAATGTATTTGATGAAGAGACCAGGTCACTGGTCCCCTCCATCTGGATTTTCATGACTGAAACTTCCTGGTGTCATTTAACACATTCCTCAGGCCATATAACTTGTAACTTGACAGGCCCAGAAGCCAGATTTGATTTGGGTTAACTTTTTTTTCAGAACTCCCAAGGTGCTATTAAAAAACAAAAGTATAAAGTTTAGGAATTTGGGGAACAAAATGTACTCCAAATACATATAAATTCATGGCTTAAAATTAAGGAGTGACCTACATGACCATGGCCAGGATGTGCTCAGGGTCTGCTGGAGGATCTCTTTTCTAAGTCCAGTCCAGGTTTACCCTCCCTCTGTCAGATGTCCCTGCCTCCACCTCTGAGCGTTTGGGTGTCTTCCTGATTTGCACCTCTAAGTGGGCAGCAAGGCAGGCAGCTATAGGGCTCTTTCCTTTTCCCTCTGACCCTAGAACATCGCCATCTTAGACCTATTTGGTACTGAGAGATCTGCACTTTTAGCAGCTACTATAAGAGACAGAGCATTTGCTCAGAGTGACATCTAGTGGCTTTAAAAATTTATTTTATTGAGGTGTAGTGTTATCCTTTCTTAAAGGTACAATAAACGAATTTGCTTTTAAAATATGTATTTTTATTGTATTTCTTAGTCACTTTTATAACTATTTTATTATATTTATCAGATAATAAAAATATAATAGTTATAGAAGCAACTCATGATCATAAGAAAAACCTCAAAGGATACTGAATAATAATTGCCTTTCTAATTAGATTTGTTTCAGAATTTTAGTTAAATCTTTCCTGGTGCTTCTTTTGATAGGAAGTGAAAGTCCCTCAACACTAAGCATAATTCTGACTAATGGCAAGTTATCCTTTTTAGTGGCTGCATGATATTCCATAGAATGGGGAGGATAATGATATATTCCCTCCATTCCTTGGATATAACTGGAAAGAAGCTTGGGTGGAGTCAGGAATCATGGGTTCCAGTTCTGGCTGTGTCATTAACTGGGTCACATATCCTGCAAGCTTTCCACACCTCGATTTCCTTAGTTCAGAAATAAAACAAGGTAGGGGAGAGAGTTTGGGATACTCATCAATGAAGTACATATTAAAACACAACAGAAATGCTAAGATACTGCCTACTCGGATGTGGACTAGACCTTGCACCATTGCTCTCCTAGTGCCCAGGTCTGGCTTTGGGCTGAAACTTACACCATCAGCTTTCCTGGTTCTCCAGCTACCAAATGCAGATCTCCGGACTTTTCAGCCTCCATAACCACAGAAGACAGTTCTTTAATTTTTATCTGTATCTATATGTAAATCTGTATCTATCCTATATATCTATTAGTTCTGTTTCTCTAGAGCACCCAGAATAAATACAACACCATTTAACAAAATGATCCCATTCCTGAGACTTTATCCTAAGAAAATGCATCTTTCAAAAGATTTTTATAAAACAAGCTATATACACAAAGTTATTAACCACAGTGTTATTTATAATAATGACAAACTAGAGACAATACACATGTTTAACAATTGGGGAGAGGCTATTAGATCACAGTGCATCCATTTGAAAGAAAATTACACAACCACTGAACTAATAATTATGAAGACTGTAACAACATGGGAAAATATTTACAATTAGTGTAAACTTATGAAAATGCAGAACATAAAATTTTATAAGCACATTAATTATAACAAGTAAAAAAGAGTAAGTAGTAAAAACATCCATGCATATAATTTGGAGGGGGCGGGTACCGGGGATTAAACTCAGGGACACTCGACCGCTGAGCCACATCCCAGCCTTATTTTGTATTTTATTTAGAGTCTGGGTCTCACTGAGTTGCTTAGTGCCTCACTTTTGCTGAGACTGGCTTTGAACTCGCGATCCTCCTGCCTCAGCCTTCCAAGCTGCTAGGATTACAGGTGTGTGCCACCACGCCCAGCTGCATATAATTCTTAATAACTTTCCTTTACCAATGTGACATTTTTAAACAAAAGGTGGAAAAATGAAAGCAACAAGGGGGTTGAATTATCAGTGGTTCTTTTTTTTTAATATTTATTTTTTAGCTTTTTAGGTGGACACCATATCTTTATTTTTATGTGATGCTGAGGATCAAACTCAGTGCCTCATGCATGCTGGGTGAGCGCTCTACCATGGAGCCCCAGCCCCAGCTCTATCAGTGGTTCTTAACTGGAGTACACATGAAAATTATTTATTCTACTTTGTGAAGATTCTGAGATCAGGCTGAGGCAACTATATACTTATTATACACACACACATACATACCCACACACACACACACCATACCTACCCCTCCACACACAAACACACAGGTGATTCTGATGCATATTGGTAGGCAAATTCTCAGCATGAAGTTCCACAAATCTATGCACAGCAAAAAGCTGGGCATTACCTAGAAGGCACTGAGGGCAATAAAGTCCAACAGTTCTCAAGGGGCACCTGAACTACTGCAGCCACTGTCATTAGCATTTGTGGACTATGGGCAGTCTGCGGCTTGGCCCTCTGAGGAGGATTGCTCCACAAGGCGAAAGGCCTCCAGGAACTCATTGATGTCGATGTGGCCATCCTTGTTGAAATCAATGCTCCGGGCAAGGTCACAGATGCAGTCATCTGTGATGTCGATGTTCATGTGAGAGCTGAATAGCTTCCATGTCTGCCTGAACTCATCCAGGGAGATGAACCCTTATCAGAGGGAAGAAATCACTTCAGTGAGTCAATCAGCGTTCATTTCCTCTGACATTCCTGCAAGGACACTTGCTCCCCTACTGTTAATCCAAAACATCCAAGGCCTTGTACCTAGTGTAAACTCTCCCAAGGGGATCACAAGAAACCACGTATCAGGAGGGGTTCTCAACAGGGAGAAATTTTGCTCCCCACCAGGGACATGTGGCAATGTCTGGAGACAATTTTATTGTCACAACCAAGGTAAGAGTGGGGTGCTACTGGTATCTAGTAGATAAAACCCAGGGATGTTGCTAAACATCCTACAACACACAAGATGAACTCCTCCTAAAAGACTTATCCAGTCCAAAACATCAATAGTACCATTACAGAGAAACCCTGCATCAAATCATCCCAAATATATACTAATTTATGTTTCGTAAAAAGAGCCCTTAAAGCTAGGTATGGTGGTGCATGTCTATAATCCCAGTGGCTCTAGAGACTGAGGCAGTAGGATCACAAGTTCAAAGCCAGCCTCAGTAACTTAATGAGGCCCTAAGCAACTCAGAGACACCCTGTCTCAAGACAAAAAGGGTTGGGGATGTGGCTCAGTGGTTAAACACCCCTAGAATCAATCCCAGATACCACCAGAAAAAAAAAAAAAGCACTTAAACTGGGCATGGTGGCCCACATCTGTAGTCCCAGCTACAGGGGAGGTTGAGGAAGGAGGATCACTTGAGCTAAGGAGTTCAAGATCAGCTTGTGCAAAATAAAGTGATCCTGTCAAAATAAAGGAGCTAGGTGTAGTGGCACATACCTATAATCCCAACTGCTCAGCAGGCTGAGAGGCAGGAGGATCACAAGTTCAAGGCCAGCCTCAGCAATTTAGTAAGATCTTGTCTTAAAATAAAAAAACAAAAAGGTCTGGGGGATCTAGCCCAGTGATAGAGCACCTCTGGGTTCCCCAGTACCAAAAAAAAAAAAAAAAAAAAGAAGGGGGAAATAAAGACTTTGGATCCATATATCATACATCTACAGTTGACTGGTTTGTTGTTGTTTTTACAGGGATCACATGTTAGGCAAGTGTTCTACCACTAAGCATATTACCAGACCAGGTCAATTCCACCCACCACCCTCCAGTACTAGAGGATTGAACCCAGGGCCTTTACCACTGAGGTATATTCTAAACTTTTTTCAAATTTTAATTTGAGACAGGGTCTCACTAAACTGCCCTTGTTGGCCTTGAGGCTTGTGATCCTTCTGCCTCAGCCTCCCAAGGAGCTGTGATTACAGACCTAAGCCACTATGCTGGGCTTGATTGATATTTTATAAGGGTTCCAAGATCATTTGATGGGGAAAAAATCACTTTTTCAACAATGATGGGGACATAACTATGTATCTACAAGAGAAAGAATAAAGTTAGGCCCTACCTCACTATACATAAGAGTCAACTCAATATGGACTCAAATGTAAGATCCCAAACTATAAAACTCTTAAAACACTGTTGTAAATATTTGTGACCTTGGATTATGAAAAATTTCTTAGATATGACACCAAAAGCACAAGAAAACAAAAGAAAAAAAGTGACAAACTAGATGTTTTCAAAATTCAAAACTTTTGTGCATCAAAGGACATAACCAAGAAAATGAAAAGACAATATACAAAATCAGAGTACATACTCACAGAGCATATATCTAATAATGCCCTAGCATCCAGAATACATAAATAACTCCTATAACTCAAAGAAGACAAATAACCCAATTAAAAATTTGTCTATTCAAATAATTTGAATAGACATTTCTCCAAAGGAGATAGGCAAATGGCCAATAATCATATAAAAAGATGTTCAACATCACTGATTATTAAGAAAATGCAATTAAAACCATATGTAATTCTTCAAATCAATCAGGGTGACCATAGTAAAAATGTAAAAGACAAAAATGAAAAATAATGCATGTTGGAGAGGATGTAGAGAATTGGAACTCTCATACACTCCTGGTAGGGATATAAAACGGTACAGCCATTTTACACTCTTGTGGAAAAAAGGTTTTGGCAGTCCTCAAAAATTTAAAAATAGAATTGCCAGGTGACCAGATGATTGCACTCCAAGGTCCAAGAGAACTAAAAATACATTCACATAAACAGTTATACATGAATGTTTGTATCAGTATTATTCATAATAGCCAAAAAGGGGAAATAATCCAAATGTCTATAAACTGATAACTGAATAAACAAATTGTGGTATATCCAAATATAAAAAAGGAACTGATACTGCTTCAACATGTATGAACCTTGAAAACATCATGCTAAATGAAAGAACTCATTTATCATACTAATAGCTATATATATGATTCCATTTTTAATAAATGTCCAGAATAAACAAGTCCCTAAAGACAGAAAGTAGACTAATGGCTACCAGGGAATGGGGGACAAGGGATAGAGTGGGAAGTGACTGCTAATGGCTACAGGGTTTCTTTTGGGGGTGATGAAAATGTTCTAAAATTAAATAGTGGTGATGGTTACAAAACCTAGTGAATATACTAGAAACCATGGAACTGTGCCCTTTAAATGAATAATATGGCATGTGAACTATACTTAAAAAAAAAAAGTAATGGTATCGTAAAGTCTTTGAACCATTGGGGGATCAGGGTGAAGGTTTTAGGCACTCTTCATTACTTTGTGGCAATCTTCAATGGAACTATAAAAGACATCACATCATGGGGCTGCGGTTGTAGCTCAGCAGCAGAATGCTCATCTAGCACATGCAAGGCCTTGGGTTCGATCCTCAGAACCACATAAAAATAAATAAATTAAATAAAGATATTGTGTCCAACTACATCTAAAAAAATAAATATTTTTTTTAAAAAAGATATCACATCTTCTAGTAACTTCTTCCTATGAGAAACTCTCATTTAGTTTGTCTTCATTCTACTCTGCTCCATTCTTTTTTAAATGAGCTCCCCTACCCTCTCTCCCTCTCTCCCTCTCCCTCTCCCTCTCCCTCTCTCCCTCTCCCTCTCTCTCAATCTCTCTCTTCTTTTCTTTCTCCTTCCTAGGACTCACTATGCTGTCCAGACTAGTCCTGAACTCCTGGGCTCAAGCAATCTTCCTGCCTCAGCCTCCCAAATAGCTACATAGTCTTCTTGTATTGCTCAAGTACTTTTCTAGAGTCTATCATTTATAAACATTAATACTACTTACCTTACTCCCAAAATGTCTGAGTGGAGATGAATCAGGAATGAATTGGGAAGGAGACTAAAAGGTTCAAGGTAAAATACTGGTGGTACATCAAAAGTGGAAGAATAATGAGGGTTTTTACCTGAGTGATCACTGTCTATGATCCTAAAAATAGTCTCCAGGTTGGATCGGTTTCGATACAGGGTTTCCAGCAAACTTGACTGTATATTCTGTAAGAAAAAACTCATTTCCCTCTATGTCTTATGTTTTAGCTTGTCCTGATATATAATTAACACACAATAAACTCTGACAATCGCACACTCTTGCAAAAACCTAAAGATTTTTATCATTGCACCACTCCCTTAACCCCATTCAGCCTTCCAAATAATCTAGTGGTTAAGAAGCACATAGCCCATTATGACAATGTTCTAAAATTGGCTGAAGGATTGTTTCACAGATTTTCAAATGCAGTCCACCGTCCATATTCAATCATCGGCCTCCATGAATTCAACCAACCAGAGATCAAAAATACTGGGGGAAAACTGTGCCTGTACTGAACACGTACAAACTGTCATTATTCTCTATACAATATAGCAAGTTTTCACATTAGGCTAGAGATGACTGAAAATATACAGGAAGATGTTCATAGGTTATGTGCAAGTAGTACACCATTTCATATGGGGTACTTGAGTATCCACAGATTTGGGGATCCACAGGGGATCCTGGAACTAAATCCCTACAGATACTGAGGGTTGATTCTGTATAATTCAAAACCACTGAATTATGTACTCTGAGTGGATGATTAACATCATGTGCAAATTCTATTATGATAAAGCTGTTTTAAAAATAATACCTCACCTACTTTATATAGTCATCAAAGATTCATCGACTAAATACTTTTTAAAATGGGGGAAGCAGCATAGTATTGAGGAAACAGAACGGATCTTCAAGTCCATGAGTTTGTTTTTGTTTTGTTTTGGTGCTGGGGACCAAACCCAGGGCTTTGGGCAGGCTAAGTACCTGCTCTACCACAGCTACAACCGTGGTCAGACCCAAGTTTGAGTCCCAGTTTACAAATTCTATGACCCAAGGCCAATACTTAACCTCTGTGCTTCAGTAGGTCTTCATAGATCTAATAGAGCTGATAATACCTACCTCTTGGATGGTTCTGAGGATTAACAGACAATATATGTAAACCACTTAACACAAAGCAACAGAAATGCAGCAAATGCTTGTTCTTATTTCTCATCCATCCTGCCTTTTTGGTTCTAGATGGTTGTTTCTGTCCACGATACACTCTCATCCACATTATCCCATGATTACCTCACGGCTCAGCTGTTCTTTGGCCAAGTCCTTCAACCAGGACCTGTACTCCAGTGTGTTGTCCATTGAGTTGTTCACCAGCTGTGGCCTCAGCATCCGCCATGGCAATCCCAGATGCAACACGGACTCCACGGCTGCCGCCCAGTCAGTCAGAGTGATTAAACCTACAGGAAAAAGCTAACTTATTGACTTGTCACCTGGAAGTCTCGTTTCCCAACCAATGTACATACATTATCATCCTGACATTCTCGTACTACCTGTAAGTAACTGAAATAATGGGTATTGTCAGTGTTTGTTGTTGGTTGTGTCAGTGCTGGCTGGAAACCAGACTTGCCTGAGAAAACACAGGATGGCCAGTAAAATTTGAATTTCAGCAGACAACAAACTCTAAGTATGAGCCAAATATTGCGTAAATTATTTCTTGACTATTTGCCTAAAATTTAAACTTTATGCATCCTAAATTTTCACTTATTAAATCTGGCAACACAACCAGAAGCTATATTAGCTCTTAAAACAATATCATAAAACATTGACCATATACAGCATTAATTGTTAAAAAATTCAAATCTCTTGATTTCTTAGAATATAGCATTCACCCAAATTATTGGGAGGCTACAATATGTGTAGATGAAAAGATACAAATCTATAAATGTTACTGTTATTTTTGATAGAGATGTGGTTAATCAAATTTGGGTAGATAGTCCACTGAGTTGAACAAAGACAAAATTTCTAGCTTGGAATACAGAACATGGAACAGATAAGCACAGATTCAACAAGAAGAAGACGGCAAGTCATTGACCTTTTGCTAGTCTTGGACACACTCTTGTAATTTCTTCCACTCTGTTTTTTTTTTTTTTTATTCTGGCCTTCTTCCCTTGACCCTATTTATTTTCATCATCTTCATCTCTATTGGGCCACGTTCATATTGTATTAAAAATTTAGAACTTAAAAATTTGGAAAAAATAAATGAGACACTAAGTTGAATGAGAGGAAGAAGCAGTCAAGGGTAGTTCAGGTCTTTCAGTCAGTCAACATGTAACTTATTTGCTATCTATTGTGAGACAGATTTTTCTGGCTGGGTTCCTTCCTCCATGAAGCTCCTACTTTATTCTTACCAGTTTTATCTGCATCGTGCTTCTTAAATTCATCAAGGAGGTCTGAGGAATGAGCAAATAGCTTTTCCCGCAGAGCTCTCAGAGCTGATTCCTCTACTCTGCTAATCCTGGGACAGAAGATGAAGACAAATATTTTTAAAAGTTGGTATAGAAAAAAATAGTTACAGGTTTTACTACATTTCTCCTTTATCTTAATATTGTAACCTCCCAAGGGCTCAGGTATGAGGTTCTTTCGTTTTTCGTTTTGTTTTCTGGTACTGGGGATTGAACACAGAGGTCCTCTACCATTGAGCTACATACTCAGCCCCTTTTGAGACAGGGTCTTGCTAAGTTGCCCACACTAGCCTTGAGCTTGTGATCCTCCTGCTTCAGCCTCCCAAATCACTGGGATTACAGGAGCTGTTTTTGAGGGAAGAACTCCTTCTTTTATTTCTTCCCACTACTTCCTACTCTTCCCATTGTACACAAATAGGGTCAGTTTGGGAACCTATTTGTGTACAATGGGAAAGAGTGGGGAGACTGCTGTCCTTCCCAGTTTAGGACAGTGGTTGGATCCATTCTGGAGAAAGATCACCTCCGTGGTAAAGTTGTCTAACAAGCCTCTGCCACGGTTTCTCCATCTGTAAAACAGGCCTAAGTACAGTACCTATCCATAGAATCACTGAGAAGATTAAATGAGAAAATTCATGAACAGCACTAAATCCCGGCCCATCAAAATAACTCAACAAATGGTAGTCATTATAATCTTTATGTTCACCTTATATTTTATTATGATAAGCAGTCAGAAGGCAATAATTTATGAATAATAAAATAACACTAATTTAGCTTTCTCATTCTTATTGAGTCAATAGAATATTGCTGGGCAGCATATTTGGCCCAAAGTAAGTGCTCAATAGACATTTACAGTTGAATGAATAAGAATATAAGAAGAAATAAAAATTAAATGTACTTTATTTGTAGCGTTTCATTGAGGGACAGCCAGTCTACAAATAATAACCAGCTTATCTATCTTTTTAAGTGCCAAAGTTTTTAAAAAAAAACATTTAATCATGTTTAATGAAAATGTTCATTGTAATTTAAGATAATTAACAGTTGGTAAATGGCCTTTATAGATCCTTAAAAAAATGTGAACCACCTGAAACTCATTCCAAATTTCATGGGTATGTGAGCATATGCACTTTAACTGGAGCATGTTTATTGTTTTATCAGAGGCTGATAGAAGTGGGACCACTAAAAAGTTTAAGAACCACTAGTTATGTAAGGCAATTAAACTGCTTCCTGGAAACTGTAAACGATAGTCATCAATACCTATTCAGGGATGGAGTATATGGCAATGCCCTTAAGAACTATCTGGGTGTACAAGGCTCTCTGTCCCTGCCATCAGGCAGCATGGATGAAGCCCTTGTGAACTCTACATGGATTCTCTTATTAACCCTTCCACACCCACTGAAGTAGGGCACAATCATTATGCCATCTTGACAGCTGGACTCCGGGCTGGGTATGCCATAATCATGAGAAGTGGATTTAAACAAAAAGTAAATAAGTTCTGAATGAGGGTTTCTCTAAGAAAAGCAAGTGAGACTTTATGGACATTGACATATCCATTACAGCTGCTCAGATATTTCTCTCTAAATTTTAAGTTAACCACCGTGCTCCAGAGAGTTGGTGTCACTGGGTAAGTAACTTCTGGGAAAATCAGGTGATGTTGCATTTATTTAATGCAGTCAATGAGTATTTCAAAGAGTTCTTTGTCTGCCTTATTAAAACGCACTACTTATAGGATTCCTTGCAGTGACTCTTATGGTGACAACACTTAAGGAATCATGGTGTTCCAGTGCTGGGGCTCACCCCTGGAGATGATGATTTGGTAGGGGTGGATGAAGCTCAGGTTGCTGATTTTTTATAAAGCTCCACAGAAAATTTTTCTGCACAGTACATTTGATTCTCACTTGATCAGTTTAGATTTTTATATATCAAATCAATTCTCTAAACAGTAGCCCATGCCTATAGTCCCAGCAATTCAGGAGGCTGAGGCAGGAGGAATGAGACAGAGGCGGCCTCAGCAACTTGGCAACACTCTGTCTCAAAAAAATAATAATTTATTTTTAAACACCACTTCCTTTTCTTTAATTAGTACATTATATTTATACACTATAGTGGGGTTCACTGTGGCATATTCATATTTGCTCATAATTTCTTCCCTAGTATTTCCCCCTTCTCTTTCCTCTGCCCACCCCCTCGATCCACTTCCTCAACCTTGCTGTTCGCCGTTCTGTTTTTGAAGCACTTCCTTTTATGTGAGGCTGTTCCAGTGCTGGGGCCCATCTGTATTTAATAACACAAGGCTTATTTTAAATAATCCAATTTTACAGCACTCATAGAGGGTAAATACTAAATATTAATGTGTTCTCTATCCACTTGATTTATGCGAATTTTGTCCATTTTGATTTTTAATTTAGTTAGGCTGAATAATTAAAGAAGCTTGTTTGGGAGACTAAAATTGTACCTACTAGCATCTTATATACTCCAAGGCCCTCTGCTCTGTGGGAGGCAATGCTGCATAGTCATTAAACATGTGGTTTCTGAAACAAGACTGCCTGGGTCACTACTGGCCCACTGATTTAACCTCTTTTCCTTAGTGATCTCATCTGTCAAACTGAAATTAATCAAAATATCTACTTCATAAGTTTACTGTGAGAAAATATACATAAACTCTTCATAATACTTAACAGGCAGTAAGTTCTCATCTAAGGCTACCATCCAGAATCATCTCAATAGACAGCATTTAGTAACATTACATACTTCCTTGCAAGAAAGAAAGGATATATTTAACAAATATGTGCACTGAAATCTATCTGCCAAATCCCCAGATAATGAAAGAACATTTGTTGTGGCTTACTGGGGGAGGGGGAATAACCCAAACCTTTATGGATGAGAGAAACTGAAGAATAACCTTAGCAAGACTTAGTGGCCTAATATATGGACTTACTCAAGATGTACCCATTGAGAATTTCTGCAGAAAGCAAACTGATTGCTCCCATGAATGGTGGGTAGATGTGGATACTAAGAGTATATGGAGGAGAAGGAGGAAACCTGCTGTGGTTTGGATATGGTTTGTCCCCTAAAGGTTCATGGGTTAGAGGCCTGGTCCTCAGTTGGTGGTGGGACCTTGGGGAAGTGGGGCTTTGTGCAGGTTCTTAGGTCATTGGAGGAATGCCCTTGGAAGGGATAAAGGAAGTTTTCATTGAGTCCTTGAGTTAATTCTTATGAGAGGGTTGTTATAAAAGAAGCAAAGCTGGCTCCTCCCTCTTCCTCTGGTTTCCTGTCTTGATTTGATCTTTCATTCCTCATTTTCGCCATGATACCTTCTATTATTATACCCTTACTAGAGGCTGAACCATTGGGGCTGCCTGATCTTAGACTTTCAGCTATTAACTATGTGTTAACAAACCGATTTTCAAAAATCTCTCACCTCAGGTACTTCATTATAGAAACAAAAAATGGAGTTCTATAAGACCCTGGCTATAATGTCTATTCTACAGCTGTATGCTACAGCTGTAGCTAAATTCTGAATTCTCACATTGAATTTGGATAAATGTAATTGCATTTGGCATCTCAAAGTTCTCTAAACACTGCATTTTTTTTTTCTGAAAACCATTCATTGAAATGTCTTGCCTTTGCCTCATGGTGAGCATGTGGGTTGCCTTGTTAGCTTGATACTGCACAATATATGGGCTCAGGGATGGCCCCAGTTTGACATAGGCCCCTCTGTTACTGCCAACTTCATAGTAGTTGGAGGCAGAAAAGATGGTTAACACCTGAATCAAAACAGAAGAGAGATAGCATTCATGTTCATTGAAGAACCCTCAACCTCAAACCCATATGGCCAACCCAATGTCAGGGCTGCTGTTCCTCTTTGCACTGGTCTATGAACCTTTTCTTTTCCTTTCTTCTTTTCTTCTTTCCTTCGTTCTTCTTTTTTAACGAGGGCATGAATTGTGACTCAAGTCATAGATACTTGAATTTCAAAAGGAGGCCTATAACATGTTTTCACATTTTTGCTCCAAATAAAAATGGCATGGTTCCGAGAAAACCAGTCATTTGTTTTAATTTAAGGGCAGGTTTGGTCTGATGAGCTGGAATGGCCATGAAAAAACTAGCAGGCAAATGAGTTTATGAAATTGTCGTGCTGCCTCAAAGCTATACAGATTTCTGTGCCTCCTCTGAGATTCTCTGTGAAAGAGATTTCCATTGTCGATACCTTGGAAGTTGCTAGACATGGTATCTCTTCCTGGAGATTTACAATGAATATAGGAAATCAAAGGCTCTCAGAAGTCTTGCAACCAAGAAACTCATATGTAACCGTTTAAGCAAACATTTCTTCCATTAGTTGATCTCTCACACACCCCTTGCCATGGAAATGTCTTATTCTCCTATAAAGTTAGTATTCCCAGGAAGACAGAATCCCATTCTAGTGGCATTGTGTTAGAAAAATATTATAGGATTTGGAAATACCCAAAGATGTTAGGATATTCATTCTACTCCTGAGAAAACAAATGATCCTGAATCCCCACCTGGAATAGTGCAGAAATCTAATTACCCTGTTAGGTTGCTTGAGACATATGACAGTAAGCTTTAAAGAATAAAGATGGGAAGTTCGGCATTGTGGCTTATTCCTGTAACCCCAGCTACCTGTGAGGCTAAGGCAGGAGGATCCCAAGTTCAAGGCCAGTATGGACAACTTAGGAAAACCTTGTCTCAAATTAAAAGAAAAAAAGAAAAGAAAAAATTAAAAAAAGAAAGTGTTTGAAATGTAGCTCAGTGTGTGCAAGGTCCTGAGTTCAATCCCTAGTATCATTAAAAAAAAAAAAGAATAAGAATAAGAAAAAAGAAAGTAAAGAAAAAGAGGCTATAAAAGTCATGGATAAATGACTATAAAGGGCCCAGTTGCTTTGAGCAAGTTGGCAACAAGTGCACTTCACAGTCCAGGCCTAGGAGGAGCTCTTGGGACGCTTTTGTGACACACAAACCAGCACTGCTGCAGTGGGTTCACCTACTTTGCGGTTGTGGCAGAACTCATAGCCTTCAGGTTTGCATTCATGGGAACGGATCAGAAACTGCAGGTTGTATTTCTGTAACAACTGTTCTGTCACATCAGGCCCAAAGTAACAGCCTCCTCCTCTAACGGTGTTTGCTTTGCAGCCCTCCTGCATCATGGGATCACTCCACAGGATGTCGACAACCTGGGAAGACCAAGAGACAGGTATTCATTCAGAGTCATTCACATGAAAGCAGAAGGAGGAGGTTGCCAGTCTCATCCTAATCAGGTGAAATAATTGAGTATATTTCAGTTGTTTATCCCAAATGTACTTCTAAGTATAAAACTGCAAGCTGGAGTGCAGTGGCGTATGCCTGTAATCCCAGCAGTTTGGGAGGCTGAGGCAGGAGGATCACGAGTTTAAAGCCAGCCTCAGCAACTTAGCAAGGCCCTAAGCAACTCAGTAAGACTCTGTCTCTAACTAAAATATATTTTTAAAAAGGCTGGGGATGTGGCTCAGTGTTTGAGTGGCCCTGGGTTCAATCCCCAGTACCCAAAACAAAAACCAAACAAACAAAAAAATAAAAAATAAAACCTGAATGTGATTTACAAGTACTTGCACATTATTATTGAGTCATGTTTTGCAAAAGGAAAGGCCTGAATTTTAATATTTCAATTCTAAATTAGTATTGAAGCCCAGATGGATGTCTGGGAGAATGTTCCTAAACTCACCCTCTCTCTCTCTGTGGTTTCTAGCTTCAAGAGTCAGCTGCAACCCCTCCTCTTTCTCACCACCCTTCCTCCAATCAATCAGCCAGTTCTGCTAATTTTACATCTTAATTCTGAATTCTTTTCTTTACTGGGTGAACCATATAAAATGGTAGGTTTTGTAGGTAAAATAATGATTAAATACTAGCAAGTTCATGTAGTTCAGTAACACTACTGCCCAAGATCACCACCATCATCTCCTACAATATTTCCTTCCTTCCTTCCTGCCTTCCTGCCTTCCTGCCTTCCTGCCTTCCTGCCTTCCAGTTCGAGGCAGGGCCTTGCACATGCTAGGCAAGCACTCTACCACTGAGCTACAACAGTCTTTTAAAAGACCTTGCTGCCACAGTCTTGCCCCCATGAAATGTGCCCTTCACCTGGATGCCTGTTCATGGGTTTTAGCAAGCATTGTGCCTAATTGAGTAGTGTCCACTGGATATCCATTCTCCTTCTTCTTCCAATATAACAAAATGATTATGTCTGGGATGACATTGAGTCCAACTAAACACTCCTTTTTCCAGTCTCCCTTGAAGCTCGGGGAGGAGGGCATGTGACAAAGTTCTGGAGCCTTTGGAAAGGTCTTAGTTGCCTGATAACAGAGGACAGAAGTTACTGCCTAGCTCTTTTGTCTTTGAGATGTAGCACCCATCTTGCTGACAGGTACAAACTAGCATTTAATACCTTCCAATAAATTGTAGCTTACTTTCTTACCCACTGATGCTAAGTCACTAAACCAGGCAAGAGAGCCCACCTGCTGCGTCTTCCCATTCTTTATGAAACTCTAAAACATAGGAATCATTAAGCAAATACTATTGCTCTTCTGGCATTTTCTAACCCCACAAAAGTATAACCTTCAATTTACACGGAAGGAGGAGATTGGGGCTGTTATTAAATCCTGGGTCCCACCCGATGGCAGTCCAATTCTAGGAAACCCACCTGCCTCCACTCCTGCAGAGTGGGCTCGGGCAGCTCTCCAGGGACTGCGTGGGCTTCCGAGGTCTGGGGCAAGGGCTCCTCCTTCTCCCCAATCCCCGGGAAGTTGGCTCGCTGCTGGCACCGCTCCAGCTCCAGGTCCACCGAGCGCCTCCCCAGCCAGGCCAGCTCGGTGTGCTCAAGCGGGGCGCCGAAGGGGACGCTGGAGGACAGGCTGGCTTTGTGGGCCTTGTCTGAGCCCAGGTGAAAGGGTAGAGAAGGGGGAGAGCGGCTCTGGGGAAGAAACCATGGGGTGGGCGTCTGCGCAGAGCTTGTCTGGTGGGCTTTTCTCTTCTCTGCCTGTCTGTCATTTTCCTTTCTTATCTTGTATCTCAGCGTGGAAACGATCTAAACAGGTCCCCAAAAAGACACAGATAATGAAACTGTAGATCCTTTCGGAAAAGCAGTTTTGCACACAGGTCAGTCCTGAAGGCTGGGCTCCACAGACAAATTACTAGTCAATCTGTGCACTGTTTGATGGCCCTTGGCCTAGAACAAGACAGGTACAGACCTTTGAGAGTAAGCCCTAAAAATTTGTATAGCAATTTGATATTGCCATGACATTGAAGCACATGATCAGTGGGCTCATATTTTTCATTTGTATTTAATTTTTTTAATGATTCATATGTATTGTATTTTACAAGTTATTGATCTGTGACTAATTGGAAAATTCTAAAACCTGGATAATTTGAGAAACACTAACCTAGGGCATTGTTTCTCTCTAAGAACCTATGATTTTCAGATAAGATGGAAAAGGGCAAATCTTTAGAAGGTCAAATCCTTACTGAATTTCCTAACTTTCATATGTTTCAAATTCATATATTGAGCCCTTTCCAAATAGGTACAATTCTGGGCAGTTCACACAAGTTAACTGATTCTCCTTCATCACCCTTATGAGATAGCATTATTATTTATAGTACAGATAAAAAACAAAGGCACATAGATACTAAGACTTGCCCAGGACTGAAGCCACAGAGTTCTGACTCCAGAGCCCATATTTCTCTGTAGTTCCTTCCCAAGTGTTCCCCAGACCACACAAATTACTATATTACCCATTTTGTAGAACTCTGCAAACCAAACATTAGGAAGTTAGTTTATTTTTTAATTAGCCACAGAAAGTCAGCTGTTAGTATTCTTCCTCAAAGTTCCTCCTACTTCTGTTTTCATAATTAAAAATGATTCTTCCATGACATGATATGTTCTACTGTGACTTAATGTCTCTTCTCTGCCTTTGGGCCAACACACCCTAACAGAATGGTTGAATTCAAAGTTTTCAAGAAACACCAAGGTATAAAAATGTAGAAGCTAAAAAACATAATAATAATTAGGTGCCGGGCAACATGCAGAATTAACAAAAGAAATACCAAGAACTGGTTTTAGGCCTCTCAGGCTCCATGCTCTCTTCAAGAATATAAAAGGGTTGAGATTGCACAGAGGTAGAGAAAAGATTGGTAAAATCCAAGACTTTTGGAGGAAGTTGCAGGCCTTCTCACCTCCACCTCTACCAAAGAGTTATCCTTTTCTTCTTTGAACTGAGTTTGGGTGGATAGGACATAGAACTCAGTTACCAAACCATGAAGAGCCACAACCAGACCTGATAAGTAAGACCAAAGTTCAGAACCCTTGGCCTTTGAATTGGTTGCAATTACTGGATGATTCTTGAAAGTCTCCCTTGGAAAGGGGATGAGCCTTTTTCTATGTGTGGGAAGAAAAGCTGGCATTGGAATTTGGGGAGCCAAAGGGACAAACCAACCTAGAATGTTGCTACCCTAACTTAAATCAGTGTTAATATCTAGCTACCCTTCTTCCTTAGTAATAGAATCCCTGATTCTTATGAGGGCACATAACAACCTAAAATAAAGACTTTACTTGCAAATTTCCCTTTCAGCTAAATGTAGACACATGACTAAATTCTGGTCAATTAAATATGAAAAGGTTTGCTTCATAATTGGATATTCAATTATACAATCATATAAAAGGAAAAAGCATGCCTTTCTTTTACTCTGTTTAATTTCAATTTCTGCTGACTAGAATGTGATCATAATGCTTGGAACTCAAGCGGCCATCTTTGATCATGATGTAACATGGTGAATCAGCAAGACAGAAGAAGTCTGAAATCCTGTGACTTCATAGCATCACTATACCAACCCTGGATTGCTCTCTTTCAGCCTTTGTTTACATGAGAGATATAAACATGTCTTTCGTGAAGTTTTTTGTCACTTCAGTCAAAAGTAAATACCATTTTCACTTTTGTAAGCCACAAATGTTTTCATTTAATCTTGATAACACCTCTGACATGGCTAAGACTATCATTCCTCCCAAATATGTTTTTCAATTTTTGCTGGGGAGATTGGCAGCCATGAAAAAGACAGCATTTTTAGCCTCCCTTCTAGTGAGGGGTAGCCACATACTCACATTCTGACCAATAGGATAAGAATGGGGAGATATGCAAGTTCTATACTGTGAAAAGAGCACTCTTATTCCTTTCCTTCCCCTCTCCTATTGCTTAGGATTTGAATGTGGTAACAAGTTTTCTTGAATGATGCACTCTAGAGATGGGAAATGAGACATAATAATCCTGAGTCTCTGAACAACTTCATAGAACCAAATCGCCATATCAGGCACTTACTGGGTAATGCAAGATTCAAACCCAATCTGGTGGACTCTTTCATGTGTGCCTCATGCAGAGAAACTTTCATATCCAGTAGAGCTGCCCAAACTTGAAGTAGCCTGGCCTGTGTGGTGATAAGTTCCCTCTCTTTGGAATGCTCAGGAAAATGTCATCAAGAATGTTGTAGTGAGAACATGAAAGAAAGAAATTGAAAAAGACCTTAGAAGATGAAAAGATCTCCCATGTTCTTGGATAGGCAGAATTAATATTGTCAAGATGGCCATACTACCAAAAGTGTTATACAGATTTAATGCAATTCCTGTTAAAATCCCAATGTCATTCTTCAAAGAAAAGGTAATCATGAAATTCATTTGGAAAAATAAGAGGCTCAGAATAGACAAAGCAATCCTTGGTGAGAAGAGTGAAGCAGGAGGCTCCACAATACCAGACCCTAAACTATACTAAATGGATATACTAATGGATAACTATACTAAACTACACTATACAGAGATATAGTAACAAAAAACAGCATGGTATTAGCACCAAAATAGACATGTAGACCAATGGTACAGAATAGAAGACACAGAGACTAACCCACATAAATACAGTTTTCTCATATTAGACAAAGGTGCCAAAAGCATACATTGGAATTAACAAAAGAAATACAATAACTGGTTTTAGGCTTCTCAGAAAAGATAGCCTCTTCAACAAATGGTGCTGGGAAAACTGGAAATCCATATGTAGCAAAATGAAATTAAACCTGTGTCTCTCACCATGCACAAAACTTAACTCAAGTGAAACAAGGACCTAGGAATTAAACCAGAGACCCTGCACCTAATAGAAGAAAAAGTAGGTCCAAATCTTCATCATGTCAGATTAGGACCTGACTTCCTTAACATGACTCCTAACACACATGAAATAAAATCAAGAATCAATAAATGGGATGGAATTCAAACTAAAAAGCTTCTTCTCAGCAAGGAAACAATCAATAACATGGAGAGAAAGCCTGCAGAATGGGAGAACATCTTTACCATACACACCTCAGATAGAGCACTAATCTCCAGGATATATAAAGAACTCAAAAAACACCAAAAGAAACAAACACCCCAATCAATAAATCGGCTAAGGAACTGAACAGACAATTCACAGAAGATACACAAGCAATCAACAAATATATGAAAAAATGTTCAACATCTCTAGCAATTAGAGAAATGCAAATCAAAACTACTCCAGTCAGAATGGCAATTATCAAGAATACAAGCAACAATAAGAGTTAGTGAGGATGTGGGGGGAAAGGTACCCTCAAACATTGCTGGTGGGACTGCAAATTGGTGCAACTACTCTGGAAAGCAGTATGGAGATTCCTTAGAAAACTTGGAATGGAACCACCATTTGATCCAGCTATCCCACTCCTCAGTTTATACCCAAATGACTTAAAATCTGCACACTACAATGATGCAGTCACATCAATGTTTATAGCAGCTCTAGTCACAATAGCTAAATTATGGGACCAACCCAGATGCCCTTCAATAGATGAATGGATAAAGAAAATGTGGTATGTATACAAAGTGGAATATTACTCAGCCTTAAAGAAAATGAAATTATGGCATTTGCATGTAAATGGATACAGTTGAACAATATCATACTAAGCAAAATAAGCCAATCCCCCCAAAAAACAAAGGCCAGATGTTTTCTCTGATATGTTGATGCTAATCCATAATGTGGGGGGCAGTAGGGAAGAATGGAAGAAATTTGGATTGGATGGAGGGGAGAAAGGGGAGGAGAAAGAGTATGGTGGTGGGAAGAATGGTGGAATGAGATGGACATTAATACCCTATGTACATGTACGATTGCATGAATGGTGTGACTCTGCATCATGTACAGCCAGAGAAATGAGAAGTTTGGGTCCATTTGTGTACAATGAGTTGAAATACATTCTGCTGTCATGTATAACTAATTAGAATAAATTAAAAAAAAGAAAAGACTGTTGTAGCAGAGTTTCCTGTGTGGGATGGGCAGTTGGAATAGGGGTACCATAAGGTATAATTCAAATATAAGAGTCTACTATTAAAAGAAAATACAACTTTTACTTTCAAGGTTTTCACTGCTAAAATGAATTGGAAAATAGCCATTTGTTGTTAATAGGCTATAATACATCTGTCTCCCACTCTCCCACCCTTCCACTTCCAACACACACTGGTGATTATAAGTTCCTTCAGGAAAGGCACCATCTCTGGTTCATCTTGATATCTCCCCTAACAATTTCTTTATGCATGGTAAGCATGTAAAACAGATATTTTTTAGTTTAATTGAAATTGATCTTCATCTATGTATCTGCCAGTGGCACCTTCCCTGCATGTGGTAGGTACTAGATGTGTTGAGTTTAAAAATGATATGAATTATTTGGGAAATGGATAGAAGGGTAGTGATTAGAACTATCTAGATCAGGAAAGGCAAATACGTAGCACTAGCTACCTCCTGCCACTCGTGTGTCCATGGTAGACATTACCAGTTGATTACAGCATACTCGCATCTTGATCCCAGCTATGGATTCTCAGTCTTTATGCTCTTCTTAGTCACCAGGAGTCCTCATGCAAAATGACATTTATTTTTTGTTGGTAGTGAAACTGCACATTAAGGTGATATTTGTATTATTTCATGAATCAGTACCTTGTGCCTGTCTAGTTTAGCCAAAAGCTCCAAGTCAGTCCTGTCTGATACTCCACCGTGAAGAATCAGGACTTTCTCATCAATCAGAGTGGCCAATGGAAGCCAACAGAACACATCTTGAAGAGTTCTTAATATTTTCTTTCCATGTACCTGAAAAAAAATGATATTAGCAAGATGTTAAGTTTCAAATAACTTACTCATCTGATTGAAGAGAAACTTTAGCTTATAAAGACAGGCACACCTTATATTTTTGCATCACTTCCTTGGTGAAGCCATATCTAGATACAGAAGGGAAAGTAGGTATTAAAATAAATTTAGTGACAACAGTTAAGGCATGATCACAGTTTTATAAAAAGCACATTATATATATATATAAATATATAATATATATATATATATATATTTATATATATATATAAATATATATATATATTTGAAATATTTAGAAAAGAGACTGAGAAATAATCACCAAAATGTTCAGTTATAACATTATATGTGGATAAAGAAATTGTGAGATATTTTAATTTTCTTTCTTTTGATAATCCATATTTCCCACTTTTTCTATGGTGAATCCTTATAATTTACATGCTAAATAATATGGACATGGGTACAAATTAATAGTCTTATTAGAATTGTAGAATAACATAATTAAAAAATATTTTAAAATATTATATATTGTGTCTTCTACTTTCAGAAATTAGAAAACCACTTTTCAAAAGTATCTAAAATAAGAAGCTCTAGCAAGATAATTTTTTACAATTGCAACAAGCAAGTATCAAATACCCAAGCATGTTTTGGCTTGTACCGTAAGTTCATCAAATGGTCCTCGTGATTTCCTCGGTTAAGATGGAACTCTTTGGGGTAAACCAACATGAAGGCAAAAAGAACCATCAGGATCTCTATTGAATCCTTGCCTCGATCCACGAAGTCACCATTGAACACGTATGCTCGCTCTGGTGATGGGAGGCCATTCTTCCCAACACAAAGATGAGTTCAAGAGCCAGTGGGGGAAAGAGAATAGAAAATCTGGTTAAAGCCAATGGCCATCTGACCATCAGGTCTATAGCCAATTCTTTGCTTTCCACATCTCCTCCAAATGTGAAACATCACTCAAAGATGGAAATATTTTCTACTGTTATATTTCCTTTCCAGCAAAGATGAGCTTATGAGATGATTATCAGAATGACACGTTATAGAAAGCCAGACTGTCCATGTGGTGTGCAGTAAAGGGCACTGGAAATGTGATCTGAAGGCCAGCCTAAGTTCTGGCAACATCATAATAACAGCTGCTGCGGATTCCTCAGGATTAAACAAGATAATATGTAGGAAAATGCTTTGGGAAATGAGTATATGTATAAAGCAACATTACATTGATAAAACACAATTATATTCATATACTTTGTTACATGTTCTACATTTTATAGCTAAAAATAGATATAAAATAGTTTACACCTATTGGTTGCTTTGATAATAATCAATTTTCTTTATCTGGAAAAAAATCAATTGATGAATAATGCTTTCTTCTACTTATTAAGCTAACATAGTTCACAAATAATATTTCCAGAATATAATGCAATGATGACTTTTATATTATATATTTTCTACCTAGAAGCAAATATTATTAAAAATAATATTTTAAGAATCCAAGCAATATTTAAGCATTTGTTTAATAGATATTGTGTTTTAGGTTCTAAATTAAGCCTCAGAGCAAGTAAGAAACTTAATTGGAACATTCATACCTTATAAAATATAAATATTAAGTCATCTAACTGGCCATGTAAATCTCCTAAAAAAAAAAAAAAAAGAATATCAGTGCTGATTGACTCTTACTATTGTTTCTAATTTTTACTATAAAAGGGAAAATACTGTTTCTAGAAAAATCTGACAAAGTTAAGAAATCAAGGGTTACTAATTTTTTCCATATGTGAGATAAATATTCATTTCCCCTTGTTGCAGAGATGGTTAATACTGAAAGCAGAAAGCACAAGTTTGTCATAAGTAGTATTTTATAATAAAGAGTAAATGGCCTACATTTTTTTACTGAAGAAAAGATGGGACAGAATAATGTAGGGTCACAACCCAGGTGAGAACTGGAGAGTTTTGCCCCTGTTAAAGTTGGAAGCTGCCACTCACTTATGGACCAGTGTTAGGAGGAGATTCTTTAAGAGAAGTTGTAAAATCTAGACTTTACTATGAAATCCTCTAATTTTCAAATGTTGAGAACACTGATTTTAAAAGCTTTAAAAACATTGTAGGGCAAACAGGACATATATACAGGCTGCATGTGGCCCTTGAAGTGCCAGTTCACGGTCCCTGGTGTGGACACAGCCTCCCTGGGATATAGTGTGGGCATCAGTCTATTTGGATGCTTGACATCATGAGAAAATACAAGGAAATGGAAGAACCTCTCATTTGCAGGACTTCTCTCTGGAAGAGGAATGTATATGGATGGAAGGAATAATTCCTTAGGCATTGGGGGGCTTGCTCATGTACAATGAATAAATTCTCTTCTAACAAGGAGGGTCTGTCTGGTGGTTTGCAGGGGTTTTGTTCTCAGTGGGGAATGAGAGTTTGCAGTCAATATGAATTGCTTTGAAAACTAAAGCAGAGGCTGAGCCCTGGGCTCCAACGTTCCCCCTCTCTGAACCATGGCTTCCTTAACTAAATATGGGGAAATCTGTAAATGGTCAATTTAAGGGCGTGAAACTTGACCTGCCCACTTGCCACTGCACCTCCCTTGGGACAAATCCTGCTCCTGCCCTTCTCCAAGGGAGAGCTTTCTAGTTTGTGTCTAACAAGGGGAGTCATTCAGGCAGGTTCTTACCACACACTGTGATCTCCTCGCTGTAACAGGTGGAGAGCCGGCTGATGTTAGGCAGCTGCGCCAGGTGTTTCCTGGCCTCATACAAAAGATTCAAGACGTATCTAGCATGGAGCTGCTACTAGGAAGAAGAGGAGGTAGGGAACAAAACAACACAGGTGGCCCTCAATTTTGCTGCTTAACGACCCCAATCACTAAAGACATCAAAAGTGACCCCAGTGAACTGCTCCTAGGACTCTGCCCAGAGCCTTCCTCTCTCACCCATCTTCTGCTCTTGTATCTGCTTCTCATCATCTCATTTTCCCCTCCACAGATACTGAGCTCATTTGCTCTTCCTAGTTACTCCCTAAAATCCTTCCTCTCCTTTAGCTGGGGAGCAGCTCATGATTATTTCTATAGACTATTAATAAGTACATGTATGTTAATGGCATCTGGTGACCCTGACACTGCCAAGAAACAACTCACTGCTCTTGCAGTGAGTTATCTTCGTGTGAAAGAGGGGAAAGACTGGCATCTGGCATCTTCGTATGAAAGAGGGGAAAGAGCCAGAATCTGACCACTTCTCACCTCTGCCTCTACCACAGGGTTTCAAGCCATTAACATCTTTTGCCTGGATCACTGCATTATGAGAACTGCTGACATCAGCCCTTCCCTGTACGCGCTCTCCTTACACAGCAGCCAAAAGTACCATTTTAAAAAGCAAGTCACACCAGGTGTGAGGGCACATGGCTGTCATCCCAATGACTCAGAAGGCCGAGGCAGGAGGATCTTATATTCAAGTTCAGCCTTGAACAACTCAGCAATTTAGCAAGACCCTCCGCAATTTAGACCCTGTATCAAAATTAATAAAAAAGGCTGGGGTGTATCTCAGTGGTACAGTGCCCCTGATTTCAATTCCTGATACAAAAATATATAAAATTTGAAAGGAAGCCACACACTGTTCTCAATGTCTCCTCATCTTGCTCTGAAGAATAAAAACTCCACTCCTCCCCAACTCATCTCCTCTTCCCCTGGATCTCCTAAGAAACACCTGAACAGCCCAGACGAGTTCCAGCCTCAAGCCTTTTCCATTTGTCCCCTCTGCCTAAAATACTCTTTCTCCAGATATTCACAGGGCACCACCTTGTACCTTTGCTCAAAAATCACCTTCCCAGGCCACTCTATGAAATTGCTGACCCTCCCCCTCACAAGTGACATTTATCTTTCCCATCGCTTTTTGTTGCCTTCTAACATGTCACAGAATTGACTTTTTACTGTTATTTGTTATTTATTATCTGCCTCTTCCATGAGGGCAGGGATATGTATCTGTCTTGTTCACTGCTATATCCCCAGTGCCCAGAATAGTGTGGGCCCACAGCCGACTCCATAATCATGTGCAGGATGCTTACATGATCAGGAGGTGCTTTGACTCAGGAAAACCGGCTGAAGGACCAAGGGTCCTGGCTTAGCAAAGGGAACATGCGGTCTCACCAGGCAGCGCATGGTATGAACACCCCAAGGCCAGGGCCATTCTTTCTGTGCTGCCGTTGGTCTCCCTTTGCACATGGCATGGAGTGGGTGGGGACCCAGTCTCTCCAGGTGAGCTTACTTGTTTCAGTCTGAAAGCTTCCACCAGGGCAGTGGCATGGTCAGGGAGGAGCGGGAAGGAGAGATGTGGTCCTGTGTAACTGTCTGGCACCTCGATGGATTCGTAGTCACTGTATTTCTCCATCTCGGCCTCCTGGGGGAATCTCTCCTCAGTGAACATGCGGTCCAGGAACTCCCCTAGTCAGACAGAAAAGGGGGGCTGACTTGTGATCGGACATGCAGTCCACGGCGCCACAGAACCTAGTCCACCCTGGACCAGAGCTGGAGTGGGACCTGGCCAGACTGGCATCAGCTCCCATAAAGGAAAAGTAAAAGGGAACCCAGGACGCCTGGTATGGGTGGCAGGGAAGGTTTTGTTTTCATGTTAATAAAGACATTAACTGGTAATGGACTCTATTTTTATTTTAAAAGATCAACATTTGTCAAACTGAGAAAGTGCAGACTTGTGAGGCTTGGGTGTGTAAGCAGGAGGAAAGGGCACAGGCAGGGTGGGAGGAGTTGGTAGGCCTTCCAACCGGCTCCGTGCCTGAAGCTACCTCCAGCTGCCTGCCTCTGCCTCTCCAGCCTGGATGCACTGAGGGCCTCATGTAGCAAGCCATATAGACTGTGCAACCCAACCTCCCATCCCTGCTCCCAATCAGTGACTCAAGAGCTGACATCTACAGACCCTAGTTCCCTCATCTGTAGGTGGGACTATTCTGAGGCTTGTGCTCTGTGCTATTTCCCACTTCTCCCCTCCCAGTTGCTGGCTGAGTGACTCACCCTTGATTGGCTGCCTCCCTTTCATGAGCTTCCCCCCACATCCACCCCCTAGTGTTTTCTGCACTGTAACAAACTCCTTACAACCTAACTAGGCATGTTTCTAGGTATGTTTGGGGGAGAACCAAGAATAAAATTCCAGTCTGTTGTCAGCCCTTCACTCATTCACTGGCTGTCACCAGATTCGTGGTCTCAATCCCTGTGCATCCTCCACCCCACTCTGATATCTACGACCTTCAGACAGGAGGACATGCCCCACGGCAGTTCATACTCACTCTCATGGTGGCTGTCTGGGGTGAAGTGATCCATAAGGTAACTGAAGAAATCATGGAGCTGTAAAAGAACCCAATGAGCCTTAGTAAATGGCTGGAAATGGAGACTATCGTGCTAAGTGAAATAAGCTGGTCCCCCAAAAAACAAAGGCCAAATGTTCTCTCAATAAGGGGTGGAGGGAGGGAAGAATAGAAGTTCATTGGATTAGACAAAAAGGAATGAAGGGAAGGGTGGGGGATGGGACTAGGAAAGACAGTAGAGTGAATGGGACATAACTTTGCCATGTTCATCCATGAATACACGACCAGTGAAACTCCACACCATATACAATCTCAAGAATGGGATCCTAATTAGAATAAGTTTTACTCCCTGTATGTGTAATATGTCAAAAACACTCCACTGTCAAGTATATCGAAATAGAACAAATAAAAAATTAAACTTAAAAAATGAGGGAAGAGAGAACCTGGGCGTGTCCAGACTGGTTGCACCTTTTGAGCACCTGGGGTTTGCTGCCCAAGGCCTAGAAAGCAGAACTGGAGGCAGCCCCGGCTCCTCCCTCCGCACCTTGACCTGGTCTTGCTGCCCAGCATACTCTATGGACTGGAAGATGCTCCAGGTGCACTGCCGTCTCATCTCCAGGCGGGCCGTGTAGCGCCGGTACCATCTCTGAATCAGGACCGCTGCCTTGAAGGCTGTGACACAGATGGAGATACAAGCCTGTGAGCTGGGACTCCCCAGGCGGGGGATGGGGAGCAGGGCGAGGGAAGTACCCAGACCCTCTCCCACTACACATGTGGGGACAAAATGGAGGGGACAGCACTAACCATTGATGCCTGTAGGAAGGTATTTGCTTTATTTCTGGTCATAGACATTTTCTTTCAACCCATCCCAAACTCACCTCCATTCATACCATTTATTGATGAAAATATTTATAGGTTACACTAACCCCTTCCCCTATCCCAACTCACCCCTGTCTGAAGGGATGCATTCCCAACCCTCAGTGGATGCCTGAAACAGTGGATAGTACTGAAACCTATATATTTTATTTTTTCCTTAGTGAGTCAAAAACTTCCACCTTTTACTTGAAGGAAACACTTTACAGCTTCTCTTGATATATCTGAATTGCCAGCATTACTACCCTAATGCTTTGAAGCCATTATTAAGTTAAAAAAAAAAAAGATTTACTTGAAAACAAGCACTATGATACTGCAATGGTTGATTTGATAACTGAGATGACTACTAAGTGACTAATGGGCAGGTAGAGTATACAGTATGGATACACTGGATAAAGAGATGATTCAAGTCCTGGGTGGGATGGAGCTGGACACTATTACACTATTCAGAACAGCATGCAATTTAAAACTTATAAATTGTTTATTTCTGAAAATTTTCATTTAATATTTTCAGATTGTGATTGACTATGGATAAAAGAAACAATAGAAAGTAAAATCATTGATAAGGCGGGGGAGGGACTACTGTACAGACAGAAAGGTTGTACTCTGAGGATTCTGGAGAGATTTTTAAGAATTCAGTACCCTGGAAGACTGGGATAATGTGGGGAGTGAGAAAAGGGGAGGACATTTGATATTATCACAATAGATCGAATCTCAGGAGATCTGGGTCCTGTGCCTGGAACAGCCCTGCCAAGCTATATGGCCACAGAAAGCTCATTTTGTGCCTCCATGTGTTCATCTGGAAAAGGGGTTGGACTAGATGAAGATGGGGAAAACAAACATTAAACCCCCAAATTAATATTTCACAGTGCCAGGGGTGAAGAGTATTTCCCAGTCCTGTTTGGTGATATCTCTGTGAGTCTTAGGCACACCCATCATAAAATATCCATGACTGCATCTTTGGGCTTGTCCTTTTTGCCAGGACCTGTGTCAGTTGACCTTGTAGGGAAAATTAGGATGTGTTAGCCTCATCTGACCTTTAGGACCTCTTATGGTTTGAATATGAGTTGTTCCCCCAAAACTCCCATTAATACAGGGATATTGAGGCTGGGGCTGGGGCTCAAGTGGTAGAGCAATTGCCTAGCATATGTGAGGCACTGGGTTCAATCCTCAGCACCACAAATAAATAAATGAATAAAATAAAGGTCCATTAATATCTAATAAAAATATTTTTAAAAAAATACAGAGATATTTAAAGGTAAAATGATTAGATTATGAAAGCTGTGACCTCAGTCCATTTTAGTTTGAATGGACTGACAGGATGAAAATTGTAGGTAGGTGGGACATAGCTGGAGGAGGTGGGTTACCAAGGACATGCCCTGCAAGGGTACATCTTCCATGTAGTCCCTTCCCCCTGAATACACATCTCTCCATCTCTCCCCACCCCCCTCTCTCCTGCCATGAATGGAGAATCTTCCCCCTGCAACGCCCTTCTCCCATGATGTGCTGCCTCATCGCAATGGACTTGGCTGTCTGTGGACTGAGACCTCTGATACCATGAACTAAAATAAACTTTTCCCCCTCTAAATTGTTCTTGGTGGACATTTGGGTCACCGTGGTCAAGTATTGTTGCCAGAGGAGGGGACAGCTGTCCAACGTAAGTAACTGGATTCTTCTTAAGCTCCTGTGGACATGCTGCTAGTGATGAATGGACTATTTGTGGACAAAGCTGGATTAAAAAGCAAACCCTGCAGGTTAACTGAGGTCAACCTCGTGAATAATAGACAGATTGACTTAATCTATTTAGCTTGCATTAGAGAGTTGATCAATTTCTTGCTGATTTCCTTAAGAGGAAAGATGATGGTGAAGTGAGAAAAGAGAAACTGGAAAGAATTTAAGCAGAGTTAATTTTGATTTCCTGTGAAATTAAAAGTAAGTATTTCTCAAAGCTACTTGCTAAATAATAAATGATGAGGACAAAGTTTTACCAATCAAATTCTGTAAAACCATTTCCAGAATCATTGATGAAATATGCAGAATAGGCACTATAGATTCTATAGGAGCTGTTGGTAAATCCGGAGATTTCTGCACTTGCTCTAGACCTGCAGCATCAGAATTTCTAAAAGTATAACCCCGGAAGGAATCAACAAGCTCCACACATCATTCTTACTTGCACCAAGGTTAAGATCCACTGAAGAAGATCATGGACAGGGACGTTGGTTGCTAATACCTTGCCCCCAACCTTCTAAAGCAAGTGCTGCCAATAACTAGACATCCTCAGCTTTGCTTTGGCTACTTTTCCTCTTTCTCCCAGCTCTCTACCTGGGGTCTAGGTAACCTTTAATTGCGGGATACTTTAGGATCCTTTACCCCATCATCTGTTTTCAATAGCACAATACCAAGTATTCGGACACCTCTTACTTGGACTACATATAAAACTAATCCGAGGTACTGCTAGTGATGAATGGACTATTTGTGGATAAAGCTGGATTAAAAAGCAAACCCTGTGGGTTAACTGACGTCAAACTCATGAATAGTAGACAGAGTTTTTATGTGCCAGTTAGAAATGGAATGCTTAAACAGATTGTGGAATTCCCCATACCCACAATGCATTAAAAACAAACAAACAAACAAACAAAAAAACACTGCATATTGCGGGGATTCTGGATCAATGGTAGAGTGCTTGTCTACCATTTATGAGGCACTGGGCTTCATCCCTGGCACCAGAAAAACAATACAAAAGTGAGAAATGCTGCATAAAGTGATTTGGAAAAAAATTAACAGAGAGCTGAAGTCAAAACAATTAAAGGGGGGCTGGGGTTGTGGCTCTGCTGTAGAGTACTTGCCTGGCACATGTGAGGCACTGGGTTCAATTCTCAGCACTGCATATAAAAAAATAAATAAATAAAATAAAGTTTCATTGACAACTAAAAAAATATTTTGAGAAAATAAAATGAAATAAAAACAATTAAAGGGAAATCTCCAGATGTCAGAAATGAGGAAAGAATCTATAGCCAAAAGCACCTGGAGGCACTGATGTCAGTCAGCTCCCAGGGGAATATGGAACAGAGAGTCCCAGTAGCTGGTCTCTGTGGACTGCGAGGCTCTATAACTGACAGTCTGCAAAAAGGCAAGAGCTGGGGAAGTTTCTGTTCCTGATGGAAACAGGTAAATCTTTGCCTCCCAAACTCACTCACAGCAGGGAATGAGCTGACATAAACCCAAAGTCCCCTGTGAGAGAGGAAGTCTCAGCCTGTGCCATGTGTGGGTTGCCTTCTTGTCACTAGGTAAGCAAACCTGAGCCGAAGCTAACTCAAAAATGTGTCCACAAAAAAGACAAAGTGTTGGGAAAAAATGTTTGCAGACAAATTGGGAAAAAGTGTTTGCAGTTTATATTACAGATAATTGATATCCCCACTATATTAAGAAATTCAAAAAGGAAAGAAGAAAAAAACCAATTAACTGGGGGGTGGGGTAAACAAGAGATGTAAAGAGACAGTCCTGTGGAAAAAGAAGCACAAGGTTTAAACCTATGCAGATATTTGACCTCACTCATAATAAGAGAGAGAAGTTAAAACTGCTGACAGACGTATTTTCACCTATTAGATGGTTATAAATATAAAATTTGGCACTGTGCTCTGTTAGTGAGGCTGGGAGGTAACAGATATTTTCCACAGGCTAAATTGTATGTCCCCCAGATTCATTTGTTGAAATTGAGGTACCCCAGTACTTGAGAATGTGACACTATTTGGAGAGAGGGCCTTAAAGAGGTGATTAAGTTAGAATAAAGTATATGATGGGCCCTGATCAAATGTGATTGGTGTCCTTATAAGAAGAAGAAATATGGACATACAGAGATACCAGGGAGTTTTGTGTACAAAGGAAAGCTGTGTAAGAACACAGCAAAAAGGCCTTCATCAACATGTCAAGGGGAGGGGGTCCAGGGGAAATCAAGACCTTGGACTTCCAGCTTCCAGAACTGTGAACAAATACATTTCCGTTGCTTAAGATACCCAGTCTGTGGTATTGTTCTAGCAGCTCTAGTAAACCAACACAACATCACTGGTGGGAATGCAACTGGAGAAGAATTTAGCAATATCTGACAAAATTACATAGGGATTTACTCTTTGACCCCACAATCCCATTATATTGAAAGAAATCTATGACAGAAATAAACTGACAAAAATATGAAAAGCTGTATGCACGAGTTGTAATAGAAAAGCACTATAAACTATTCAGTTATCTGGGGACCTGACTGAGTAAACAAAACTACTATCATATAACGGAGTATAGAGAGATACAAAAAGGAATAGGGGATATTGCTCTTCTGCTATGGCACAATCTACAGAATATGTTATTAAGCAAAATAAGGAAAAGGATAGGGTGTATTGGATATTACCATTTATCTAAGAAAAGGGAAACTGTGAACACACACGCACACACACACACACACACACACACACAATGCTTATTTTTTTAGGAAAAATAAAACCAAAAATTTCTTTAAGTTTTGTAGTTGTAGATGGACAGAATGCCTTTATTTATTTGTTTATTTATTTATTTTTTAAATGTGGTGCTGAGGATCGAACCCAATGCCTCACACATGCTAGGCAAGCACTCTGCCACTGAGCTATAGCCCCAACCCCCTTCAAAAATTTATATAATTACTTATAGGTGGAAGAAACCAAGTGTAAAGGACAGAGACAAAAATTATACTTCTCTGAGTGGACCTTTTGTAGATTTGACTTTGGAACTGTGGAAGACTAAAGATGACAGCAAATTCTTTGATACTTCTCTCACCAAGGGGCGGAGTCTATGTCTACTCCTTGCAAATCGAGGTGGGCTTTCTGATCCCTGTGACTGGGAGGATGCAGCGGAAATGAGACTGTGCTGGTTTCCAGGCTCAGATCTTAAGAATTTAACCGCTTCTGCTTCCTGCTTCTTGGAGTTTGCTTTTGAATGCTCACCTAGGGGAAGCCAGCTGCCATGGTCTCAGACTAGTCTCAGCTTGACTAGTCTGAGACCAACCACTAATGGTGTGAGAAGCGAGACCCACGGGAGGCCTGCAAGATGAGGTATGGCTTGGGGAGAGAGGCTGGGCACAGTGAGAAGCCACATGCTTTGTGAAGAGCCAACTTAGAAGAAGAGTCTCCAGTCCTAGGTGCACCAGGCATCATATAAACCACCCAGCTAGGCCCTTGGCAATATCCGAACGCACAAAGTCATGAGCAGAATAAAATAATTATCATAAGCCTCTAATACTTCAATGGTTTGTTATACAGCCTTATGTAACTGGAAGAGGGATGGTATGAAAGCTTCATAAAATTATAAAACAAATTTAAATCAAAATGAAAAAAGAGAACAGTCTCTAAAAACCAAAAGCAAAAAGTAAAGCGATCCTAACCTTGTATAAGTTGGTGGCCTCACCCACACAGAAAGGAGTTATTTCAAATAACTTGAAAATTCAGAAACTTGTACATCCCTAGAGGATATATTTGAACCAAAAAAAAATTACAAAGAAATCTTAAAGAGTTTCCAGCAACCATATTTTCATATTTTTATTGTTGTTCTGAAACTATATAAATTGTAGGATAAATAGCATTATGTTAATGTCATTATAGAAATGTTTAACAAAGAGAAAGTGTATATAAATATCATTATCAAGGCTGTTAAGTAAAAATATTGCCATCCTAAATTGGTCATGTTTGTTTCTCTTCAAATAATACCTGCTTTGTGACTCTGTTCACTGAAAACACCTAGAAAGGACACCCAGCCTGGGAGCAATGAACACCACAGAGCCCTGGAGAAACAGCTGCTCCTGATCCTAGGCAAAGACCACTCGGAATGAGCTCGGCACCTTGCCACACTAGGAAGCAGGGCAGCCACGGGCTTCCAGAGATGCCCTGACAAACCAGGTGCTGATGCTGGTGCTCCCCCCAACACAAGCCCCTCCTTCAGCTCTGTGCCCGTCCTCACTCCCTCACTGTGTTCCTCTGGTGGGGCCAGTTCATACAGAAGCTGGCTCTCCCCACTCTAGGGACATTAAATGCTATTCTTTCTCCACTGTCCCCTTATTCACATTGACAGGTCAGACTTTTCAGAGGTAAGTTAGTCAAAGACTCTTAATTTTTTCTCAGAGTACTAATTCTTCCCGTGTCTTCACCATGGGAGACCCATAGACCTCCATATAGACTTATATGGGTGGTCACAGTTAAAGGAATCAGCTGACTGTGCAGAAGGGATAGAGAAAGGGAGACCCCCTCAGGGTTCCAGGATGCCCGCCACCCTACACATCCATCACAGCCTTCTTTTCCAAAGATAGTTAAAATAATAACACATTTAACTGGCATGTTATGGTTTAAAAGTTCTTCTGCATACCCTGTTTCATGGAAGACAATATTGAAAGGTGGGGGGGCAGTTTATATCTGTATCTTTAAAATGGAGATTAATCAAACAGAGTTGTTGAGCAGATAAATAAAATAATGTATGTAAAGCATGTAGTGAGCGCTCCCTAAGGAAAACCACTGTCTTTATTGATTTATCTTCATTTCATGGATGGCACAGAGCACATTATGGTTTGAATATGAAGTGTCCCCCAAAAGCTCCTGTGTTGATGCAGGAAAGTTCAGAGGTGAAATGATGAGATCACGAGAGCTGTAAATGAATCAAGTCTCTCCTATTTGAATGGACTAAGAGGGTGGTCACTATAGGCAGGTAGGGTGTGGCTGGAAGAAGGAGGTTACTGGGGCATCCTTTGGGATTTATATTTTGTCCCTGGTTCCCTGATCTCTCTCTTCTCCCTATTTGCCATGAGGTGAGCTGCTTTCTTCCACCACACCCTTCTGCCATGATGCTCGGCCCCACCTCAGACCCAGAGGTATGGAGTCAGCGGACCATGGACTGAACCTCTGAAACTATGAGTCACAAATAAACTTTTCTTCTGCCAAGTTGTTCTTGTCAGGCATCTGGGTCACAGCAGTGAAAAGTTGACTAACACAGTGTCCTTGACCAGTAGCACACCTCCAGGGAAGAGCAGGGCAGGAGCCCAGGTTTCTGACTCAAACACCTTCTCTCTTTCCCCTTCACCCTGGTCACTGTGACTTACGCATCTTCCCCTCCAGATTTGGCTGGTCAGTCCTCACTTTAGGAGGATATCCATGACTTGTTCTAACCACTTACTTACCCAAAAGGTAAAAGCCACTTTTAATTTTATCTTATGATATTTTTTTGCTTGTTTACTTCAACTTTCAGTACAGCCTTCAAAGGATGTAAAAGCTCCCCTCCCACCTCTCTGGATACTCTCCATCTTGGCAGGATCACAAGGTCCATGAATATCTCCTCATCCCAGCATTCAGACATTCACGAACAGCTAACCTTGGTTTATTTTCAAGCCACCCCCAAATTTTGGTACCAAAGGTAGCTAATACTTACTTCGATACTTACTGTGAGCCACATTCTGTTGTAAGTACTGAGTCTTAACTCATTCATTTAATACTCATAAAAAACACGTGCGGGGACATACTCTTGTTATTTTCTCTGGTTTAAAAACTAAGAATACTAAGATCAAAAGAAATTAAAAGGATCTCATTTACAGGTGGTAAGTAGTAGAGCCAAGATTTGAACCCAGACCCTCTGGCTCTTCACTCTGTGTTACGTAGTAGTGATGCTCTGTGTTTGATACAAAAACCTTCCCAGCTGAACTTGTCAAAGTGTTAGCAGCTACACACCCTTCTCCATTTTCTTTTTTCTATCACTCTTCATTCCATGCTGTGGTTGACTTTTACCCTCAGCTTGGATTTGGTTCTATCAATGTTCCAGTTATAGTCCCACCACTAAATCGCAGGTGTGTTTACCCGTCGTTTAATTAGTATCTCATCTGTGCTGAGGGTGACCGTGCTCTTGAAACATTCTTCTTTTGGTTCCTAAGATATCATGTGCTCCTTGCTTGCCTCCTCCACCTCTGGCTCCCTCTCCTCAGCCTCCTTTGCAGGTTCTTCCTCATCCACATGCTGCTGAAGTGCTGGAGTCCCTCATGACTGTCCTGGGCCCCAGGCTGTGCTCTGCCCTTGCTCTGCCTCCAGGTTATCTCCTGTCAGGGCTTCAACAACCATCTACCATTCTTCCATCCACTTCACCCCTCCAACTCATCGTCACAGAAGCCGGAAGGATGTTTTAAATAGGTAAATCTTATTATAGAACTCTCTAGTTTGAATTCCTCTTTGGTTCTTCACCCTTTTAGGGCAAAGTTTAAAATCCTACAAGACCCCAAGACCTGGGTCCTGCCTACCTCAGCAGCCTCATCTCATGTCACCCTCCTTCTCTGTCACTTCAGACCCTTCAGATCCTTGACCACACCTTGGTTCTTCCGGTCACGTGTCCCTTGCCCATGCTGTACGTACTCTGCCTGGGATGCTTTTCATTCTCTTTTTCCCCACCTTTATTTTTTTTTAACTTGTATGGGTTTAGTTTTGAGATAAACTCCAAGGGAGGACATTAACTCTCTGGGAAAATTTTAATTCTGTCAAATAAAGTTGTCTTGAGCCTTCTGGTGGTCATGTTTCAAGGGGAAACTGATTTCTAAGAGTTGCCTTGAGAAGAAATGTAATGGTTTTCTGCTTCCACCTTGAGAAGCCCCTCCACATGCAACATGGATTTTGGGGTACCTGGAACAGGGGAAACACATACCTTTCTCTGCATTCTGAAAAGCAAAATGATGATGGATAGAGGTGCTGCTCCCCATGGTTTAAGTACAGTGTTCCCACCAGACGCAGAGAGCAGATCCACGGGGCAGTGAGCTGTTTGATGATGAGAGGGGGAATCTGTAATAGGGAAATTCAGGTAGAGTGTTAGGAAGGACAAATTGTCTCCGAGAGAGACCAATTGCCCTCATGTGAGAGCATCCCTCCCACCTCTCCAGCCCCAGTGCACAAGGTATTCCTCCCCTTCCATTTGTCACCCCATCTCTATCTTGTTTTCTACTGGCTTTTCCTTTACAGTCTAGAAACAAACTGGCTTCTGCTGCATTTTCAGAGCAAATCTTCATAATCATAATTACCCTTTGACCTCCTCTTATGGTTTGGGTATGAAGTCCTCCTAAGGCTCTTTGTATGTTAAAATCTTGGTCCCCAATGCACCGATGTTCAGAGGTGAGGCTTTGGGGAAGTGACTGGACCAGGAAAGCTCTGACCTCATCAATGAATTTTTTTTTGGGGGGGTACTGGGGATTGAACTCAGGGGCACGTGACACTGAGCCACACCCCAAGTCCTATTTTGTATTTTATTTAAAGACAGGGTCTCACTGAGTTGCTTAGCACCTCACTTTTTCTGAGGCTGGCTCTGAACTCATGATCCTCCTGCCTCAGCCTCCTGAGCCACTGGGATTACAGGCATGCGCCATCACGCCCGGCTCCTCATCAATGAATGAATTAACTGATATCATATTTATTTTAAGTTACCAACAATAAAAAATATGTCCCTGGCTCAAATTTAGAAGCAACTAGAAGTCACAAAATTTCAGCATAAAACAACAGGAAAATACTGATTGTTGCTGCATTAACGTTTATTATTGAATAAATCTTCTTTTGCCTCCCGGTACCTGTTTCTTATGAGTTTGGAAATCTAAACACAGTAGCAGAATAAGATGATTTTAAGAGTCATTTGCCATATAAAAAGGTTATTGGAGATAGAAATATGGCACTCCTGCACAGCGAAGAAGTGATGAAGTCTTCCATAAGGCCACACATCCAGTTGTAACTGGGTCACCAAAGACAAAAGGATGTACTTCTATAAACCAATGGGAAGCAGGCAGAGGGCTCTCAGCTGTCACTAGAACAGCAAAGATGCATGCGATCCCTGCTTGGGTCTCTGTTTCTCCTTTGTGTATGGATAATAGTTTTTCTACCAGAGTTTTTATTGGGGGGAAGGGAAGTTATATATGAGGACTACTTTGCAAATGTTTGTCATTTTCATGAAAAGTGTAGACTAGAAACATTCCTAAATGACACTCTCAAAAATTTCCTAAAATATCTCTCCCTACAAAATAAAAACACCTTAAATAGTTTCAGTACAGAGTCAACTAAAAAAGTCATGGTATGCTAAAAACAATGTGATAGTTTTCAGCAACAACAAAGAACAAGGCAGGTTCATATGGCAACCCTCTGAAAATATCCTCAAGATATACTGTAATGTGAAGAAAAGCAAACTGCAGCTGGACATGGTGGCACATGCCTGTAATCCCCATGATTTGGGAGGCTGAGGCAGAAGGATGACAATTCAAGGCCAGCCTGGGCAATTTAGCAAGACTCTGTCTCAAATAGGGGAAATATATATATATGGGTTGGGGAGGTAACTCAGTGTTACAGCACCCCTGAGTTCAATTTTTAGTACTGAAAGCAAAACAAAGAAAATAAAATTGCACAACAGTGTGTTTAATATTGTCTCATGCTTTCATCTATATATAAAAAATAATCAATCAGTAAGTGTATAAAGATCAAAGAGTATACACCAAACTGTTAATAGTGATTATTTTGGGAGAATGAAGCTGGGTAAGAGAAGTTCTCTCTCTCTTTTTTTGTTTTTGGTACCCAGGTTTGAACCCAGGGGCACTTAACCACTGAGCTAGATCCCCATCCCTTTTTATTTATTTTGAGACAGGGTCTCACTACATTGCTTAGGGTCTCCCTAAATTACTGAGGCTGGCCTTGAACTTTCAATTCTCCTGCCTCAAGTCTCCAGAGCCACTGGGATTACAGGCATGCACCACCATACCTGACAAAAATCTCCTTGAATTTACATAGTTCTCTTAATAACTTTAATCATTAACAATTAGTAAATGACCACACCATGTACAACCACAAGAATGGGAAGTTATACTTCATGTATGTATAATGTCTTAAAATACATTCTACTGTCATGTAAAAAGAACAAATAAAAAAGTAATAAATGAGGGCGGGGGTATAACTCAGTGGTGGAGTGCTTGCCTAGCACACACAAGACCCTCAGGTTCAATATCCAGCACTCTAGAACACAAAAAATAATTAATGATATTTTCCCCCAATTTTTCCATATGAGAAAAAAATAGAAAAAAAAATGACTAAATAGATCCTGCATATAGAGTTAAGAGAAGAAAGTGAAGTTATACACAGACTAGTAGAGAATGTTCCAGAAGTCACTAAAAAAAAATTAATAGAAAGGAAAAGTGAAATAATTCTCAAGAGAAAAACTCAAAGAGTAAAAACTTCATAAAATTAGGTATGCTGTACCCTCACCCCGTTGAATTAGTACTTTTTGGTGATAACTAACTGCTCTCTGCCTGGTGACCCATATGGTGAACCGTCTTTTTAGGTGATTGATACATCTCTACCACTGCTTATCCCTCTAGAATTTGACTTAGCATAGCCATACCTGGAATTATCAGTTTTTAAAAATGTAATTAGTATTTATCTGCCCAGTAAATGAGCCCAATAAATGGAAGAAAGATTGATTACCCAGGACTTGAAGACCCTGGAACACACACACCAAAGACCCTCTCTAGCTGAGTTGATGAAATAACAGAGGGGTTTTCCATCTGGTCCCGAAACCAAACCTGTATTTATCTCCTGTGGAAAACATGCATTCATTGCCCTGACAGTCCCCACGACCCATTTCTGTATTGCAGGCTAATAGGTTCTTACCTTCTTGGATGTTTCTTACTATGATGCACAAGAAAACAGAAACCTTCAACATACAGTTGCGATGGCCATTCTGTCTTCAGAGTTGGCCAAGGGATCCGGCCAATCTGATCTCTCCAGACCTACAGGTCCAATAAATAAAATGCAGTCTCAGTCTGGCACATTATCTCTCCGAAAGGCAATGATGATATCCACAGCCCTGGCCACACATCCACTGTGACAGGGAGACACTTTCAGGGCTCCCCACCTTGAAGCACTGGACACACCAGACCTTACTCAGATCAGGCCCTGGAAAGGAGAGATTGTAGTCAGGTGCCCTCTGCACACCCAGGCCCACGCCTGCAGGTAGTCCCCCTTCCACTCTCTCTCTCACTCCAGCTCCTCCCCAGTCCTAAATCTTCTTACTCTCCTGGATTAGGAGGACACGTTTCCCAAGCCACGTGTGAGAAGCCTGATCTCCTTAACCCAGAAATAGAAGAGTGCTGACGAGACAGAGGGGCCCGGGGGCTCCAGAGTTCAGGGGTCCTCATCAGGAGCCACACAGGAGGTACAAGGCATTTTCCCTTGTGGCTGGCTTGTTTCTAAACCTGATTGAAATATCATGCCCTTCCTGTGGCCACTTTCCCCTTAGGATATAACCGAAACTGTTGTTAATCCGCAGTCTCAATTTACTGGCAATTGATCTAAGATGCTTGAGTGTGGGCTGGTAAATACTAAATATTTCATTGGAACTTGAAAATAATGTTTATTTATCAGTATCTAGCAGGTTAAGCTTGTTAATTATATTTTTCAAGTCTTTATCCTTATTTACTCTTTCTGATTTTGCCCTTCTTCAAAAAAGGTGTTTTGAAGATTTCTATGGTGAAATTTAGCAATTTCTCCTTGTATTTGAGTCTTTACATATGTATTTTGAAGTTCTATAATTATATATTACTTTGGATCATATAAAATTGCCATTGGCAATTACCTAATTATAATACATAAAGGCTTATAACCGTGTTACTCCTTTGGTAGAGGGCAACTTTTCACAATTAAATATCGTTCTACCTTTGGGCTGGGGTTGTAGCTTGGCCTTGAAGCACTTGCCTCGCAAGTGTGAGGCACTGGGTTCGATCCTAAGCACCACATAAAAATAAACAAAATAAATTGTGTTCATCTACAACTAAAAAGTATTTTTTTTAGAGAGAGAGAGAGAGAGAGAGAGATAATTTTTTTAATATTTATTTTTTAGTTTTTGGCGGACACAACATCTTTGTTTGTATGTAGTGCTGAGGATCGAACCCTGGCCACACGCATGCCAGACGAGCGCGCTACTGCTTGAGCCACATCTCCAGCCCCCCTAAAACATATTTTTAAAAAAATATCGCTTTCCCCTTTTCCCTTAAAGGCCTTTTTGCCTTGAATTCTCTTTTGTCTGATATTAATATTTTTACACTGGGTTACCTTTTATTAGTGGTTGACTGCTTTCATTCTTTTTCCAAATTGACTGTAAGACTGATAATAGCCTGTATTATTGAGAGTAAGAGAAAAAAGAGTCTTGTATAGATATTATTGGTCAAAATGTAAATCATTTTACATTTTTGGAATCTATTAAGTTTTTTAAATGTATTTTAGTTGTCAGTGGGTCTTTTATTTTATTTATTTATTTATATGTGGTGCTGAGGATCGAACCCAGGGCCTCACACATGCCAAGCAAGTGCGCTACCACTGAGCTACTACTCTAACCCTAGATTGTTTTAATTATAGTTTAGTAAATTATGTATCTACTAAATTACAAATTTGAAATATATAAACCCTTTGATCCAGAAATTCAGCTTAAATTTTATACCCAACAAAAAATAAAGGATTTCATTACTATTTTATTTGTGATTATGAAAAATTAAAAAATAACCTAAAAATTGTTTTTGTATGGTATTCACCCCATTTTCTGGTTTCTTTTTAAATTTATTTATTCTAATTTGTTATAGAATGTATTTCAATTCATAGTACACATATACAGCATAATTTTTCATGTCTCTAGTTGTTCACAAAGTAGAGTCTAAACATGTCTTCATGCATGTACTTAGGATAA